AGAGTTGAGCCCATGAAATGGCTCAGTGTGCAGACATGACTGTTATCCAAGCCTAGAGCCAGAGTTTGATCCCTGGAACCCATGTAAAGGTGGAAGGAGAAACCCCACCTCCACAGAGGTGTTCCCTGACCTCCCTATGAGCTCTGTGGCACATATGGCACATATGTGCCCAAGAACGCACACTGTCTTAGGGTTTCTGTTGCTGTGATGAAACACCATGACCAAAGCAATCTGAGGAGGGAAGGGTTTATTCAGTTTATACCTGCATCATTGAAGGAAGGCAGGACAGGAACTTAAGCAGGGCAGGGAACTGGAGACAGAGCGGATGCAGAGGTCATGGGGATGCTTCACACTGGCTTGCTCATCATGTCTTGCTTAGCCTGCTTTCTTTTTTTGTTGTTGTTGTTGTTGTTGTTTTTTTTTCCGAGACAGGGTTTCTCTGTGGCTTTGGAGGCTGTCCTGGAAATAGCTCTTGTAGACCAGGCTGGCCTCGAACTCACAGAGATCCTCCTGCCTCTGCCTCCCGAGTGCTGGGATTAAAGGCGTGCGCCACCAACGCCCAGCTAGCTTAGCCTGCTTTCTTATAGAACCCAGGGGTGGCACCACCTACTATGGGCTGGGCTTTCCCCCATCAATCATTAAGAAAATGCCCTATAGCCAGATCTAATGGTGGCATTTTCTCAATTGAGGCTCCCTCCTTTCAGATAGTTCTAGCCTGTGTCAAGTTGACATAAAACTAGCCAGCATACACACCATACAAACACATGCAATAATATAGTTTAAAAATGATCTGGGGAGTGCCAGCCTACAATCCTATGGCCAGAGAGTCTGGGAAACAGAAACTTCATTTAGTGGCTGATCGAAGAAGAGGCAGATTCTCTCGGTTAAGTACTGAGCTGAACTCAAGAAAGCCAGTAACTGATGATCAAAGGGATTAAGACTGGGCTGGTTTAACCCCCAGAAACAGCTGACCAGACAAAGGTTAACTCTTGAATCCCAGGCATCAGCCTGGGAAGCCAGCATGGGACTGATCAAGGCCCCCTGAATCTGGGTGTCAGTGAGGAGGCCTAGGGAATCTATTGAGCCTTGGGCAGCAGATCAGTACCCATCCCAAGTATACACACGGACTCCCATAGAACAATGTGAGGTGCACTCTCACCCTGAACTCTTGGGGAAGGGTCTAGGCCCTGCCCTATATGAAATGACAGACTAAGGACACCCCCATGGAGGGCCTCACCCTCCCTGGGGGAATGAGGGGATAAGGGGGGGTTGGGGGGAGGGCACGGGAGGAGGGGAGGGAATGGGAGAGGGACCTGGAACTGACTTGTGAAGCAACCTTGTTTCTTATCTAAATTTAAACTGGAAAATAAAATAATAAAAAATAAATAGATGTTATAATCTCCAGTCCAAAAAAAAAATGAGGGGGAGGGATTGAGACAGGAGGCTTACTAGTCCCATGCCACACGAACTTATATAGTGAGACCATGCCTCAATAAATAAGTTAATTAAATTAAATTAGAGATGGCACTGAGAAGTGATTGCCAGGGGTCTGGATGTCATCCTTAGCACTGTAAAAACTAATAACTTAGGACAGCACAGCATTAGCTCTTTGGTCTGCTGTCCTATCCGGGAGAAATAAAAGTGCAGGGAAGATCTACTTTTCCAATAATGTAACGAATTGATATTTAAACCAGCACTAGAATGCAGGCATTCCCCTCTACGTTGCATTACTCTTCCAGCGGCACCACATTAGCTTTCTCGCCAATTTCTGTCTTCCCTAATTGGATTGCTGGCTGCATGCTTGCCATTTCAGTTGTAAGCCTGCTGTTACTGCTTAGCTTTCTTGAAATCAGTATGCTTTCCATACCCTGCTTTCCACATTCTTCCTCTTGACCTTGGCTGGTATAAACTTGGAAATTTCGTGGGGCTTTATGGGTAGAGGACAGGAGGGAGGGCTCATTAGTTCAGAGGAGTTGTTGCTCTTACGGAGGACCTGGGTTCAGTTCCCAACACTCACATGGTGACTCACACCTCTAGCTTCATGTAATCTGAGACCCTCTTCAGAAACCCTTGGGCACCATGCACACATGGTGTGCAGATATACATGCAGGCAAACACTCAAAAACGTAAAATAAGTAAATCTTCTAAAAGACAAAACAATGGAGAGGTATGCAAGGGTCTTGACCCAACTAACAACAACGTAAAAAGAGCACTTGCTGTGTAATCATTAGACACAATGGTTGTGACTCAAGGAGAGCAGAGACTGGAGAATTGGGGGAATTTTGTTATACCAGCTTGGCAGTGAAAGAGCAAACCCAGGTTCAGGAAGGAAGCCGCTGCCTCAAAAGAATAGGTGGAGAGGTAGAGGAGGATACACAGAGACACATACGTACAAACATTAAAACCCCCAAACCAAGCCAGGTGGTGGTGGTGCACGCCATTAATCCCAGCACTCGAGAGGCAGAGGCAGGCGTATCTCTGTGAGTTCGAGACCAGCCTGGTCTACAAGAGCTAGTTCCAGGACAGCCTCCAAAGCCACAGAGAAACCCCGTCTTGGGGAAAAAAATCCAAAACCAAAATGACAAGTAGACTTTAAGCTGGGTGGGTGGTGGTGGTGCCTCCAATTTTCCGATTAAATGCTCTATAGTTTTTAATCCTAGCACTCAGAAGACTGAGGCAGGCAGTCTCTGAGTTTGAGCCTGGTCTACAGGCAGTGGGGGAGGGGAGTAATGGTCTGCAGAGAAACCCTGTCTCAAAAACAACCAGCCAAACAGAAAACTTTAAATACACTCATTTGTTTGTTTTCGTTGGTGGGGCTTTTTTGTTTGTTTGTTTTTGTTTATTTTAAGATAGGTTCTCCTGTAGCTTGGGCTGACAGTGAACTCTCTTTGTAACTGCAGGTGACCTTGAATTCCTGATCTTCCTGTCACTACCCAAGTTCTGGCACTGACGGATATGTGCCACCACACCTAGTTTATGTAGTGCTAGGGGTTGAACTCGGCTAAATTTATGCTAGGCAGTTTCATGAGGGTTACTACCTGAGCCACATTCCCACCCCTGAAAAACACTCTAAAGCCACTAGAATTACCTTTAAATATAGGCATGTCTCTTGTATAAACATTTCCTAATTCTGTCTTGGAAACAAAACTCTCATCTGTTTTTCTTAATATTTTAATACTTTTTCTAATTATAAAGGCATAAAGATTACTTAAAAATTAGCAAGTTGTATTTCCCACAAAGCAGAAAATGAAACTTAGGATTACTAACTACAATGCAAAAGGGCTCATGTTTTTTGTGTAATTATTCCTAGTTTTTTTCTGTTTCTGTTTTTTTTTTTTTTTTTTTGGTTTTTTTGAGACAGGTTTTCTCTGTGGCTTTGGAGGCTGTCCTGGAACTCGCTCTGTAGACCAGGCTGGCCTCGAACTCACAGAGATCCGCCTGCCTCTGCCTCCCGAGTGCTGGGATTAAAGACGTGCGCCACCAACGCCCGGCTTTTTTTCTGTTTATTGATGTGTATGTTGTATGTACTTTTATAATGTAGTTTATAAGTATGCATTTGAGTGTATGTGTGCATGTGTGTGTTGTATGTACTTTCTTATGTAGTGTGTGTGTGTACATGCACAATGAGGAAGAGGTAGACATGGGCCGTCTCCTGTATGGCGTGACACTCTGTCTGCCTTTATTCTCTGAGATAGAAATTCTCTGAATCTGAAGCTCAGGCCCTTCCTCCTGTCCTATCCCCCAGAGCTGTGTTTACAGATGCTGGGCCTGGCTTCTTTTGTGTGTTCTTGGGATCCAAACTCAGGCCAGTGTCCCCAGTCCTATCCTTAGTCTTTACATTTAATCCTAAATACTAATAGATTTTATTAGAGAAGTCATGGAAACATGAAAATAAAAAATGCCATCCATAATCCTCATTTTCTAGGATTAACTACCATCAGTATTTGGATGAATTTGATTTTTTTCATTTAGGCAATAATATTTTAGGCTTTTTGTTTGTTTTTCATTAAGGATTATATTGGGAGCATTTGCCACTATCATTATGGGATTTTTTTTTTGGTTTTTCAAGACAGGGTTTCTCTGTGGCTTTGGAGGCTGTCCTTGAACTAGCTCTTGTAGACCAGGCTGGCCTTGAACTCACAAAGATCCACTTGCCTCTGCTTCCTGAGTGCTGGGATTAATGGGATCTTAAAAATATGAATGATGAGGCTTTATTAGATTATGAAAAACAAAAGCACTTAAGGGGATTTAAGCAATAGGATTTTATTTGAGAATGCTTTGGGGGATAGGGCTGGAGAGATGGCTCAGTAGTTAGTAGTATTGACTGCTCTTCCAGAGGACCCAGGTTCAATTCCCAGACCCATGCAACAGCTCACAGATGTCTATAACTCTAGTTCCAGGGGACCCGACACCTTCACACAGACATACACACAGGCAAAACACCAATGCACATGAAATTTTAAAAAGTAAATAAAATTTTAAAAAAAGAATCATTGTAAAATGCTTCTATCTTAGTTTTCATTCTTAAAAAAAGCAGTACAAGAAGCAAGAAAAATAAACATTGAACAAATATTTTTTGGTTAAGAGTGAAATAGATTGAAGCAGTTGGATTCTTACAGTTTTTTTGTATTTATAAGACAAAATGCAAAATTGAGTTCAAAACAGTGAAAGTTAGAAAATTTTCTAATTAAAATACACTTTGCTGCTTTAAGGTTTATGTGATAGCTCACATGAAATAAACCATCTTCTTTTACTTATATATTGTTAGTTATTTAACATTGTCCCTCATTATATAATTTTGATTCCACTGGAAAAATCATTGCATGCTACATTTTATAAGTTGCTTATTATGATGATTTTGTCTTAGAGCTTCCTTCTGTCTTAGACACTCTGAGGAGGGATCCACATTCTGTTCACTCCACCTTTAAGTTAGGCCGTTCAAGCTTTTGTGCTGTTGCCACAGTTCATATAATAACATATCTTTTCTTTTTTGAAAACAGATTTGGACTAAGCAACAAATTTGAATCAGAATTCCCTTCTTCATTAACTGGAAAAGTGAGTGTCTCTGTCTCTCTCTCTGTCTGTCTCTCTCTGTCTGCTCTCTCTTTCTTTTGTTCGGGTTTTGAGACAGGGTTTCCCTGTGTAGTCCTGGCTGTCCTGGAACTCTCTCTGTAGCCCAGAGTGGTCTCTAACTCGGAGATCACCTACCTTTGCCTCCCAAACTCTGGGACTAAAGGTGTGCACCACCAGTGCCTGGCTAGTGTGTTTCTTACCAATCTGTCTATATATCTCAAATCAGTTTTCCTTAGAAATTAGAAAAATGTGTGCTGAGATCCATTTATCATCATTCATCATCTCAATTATATTTCTTCTCTTCTTTTAGGTAGCTCCTGAGGAATTTAAAGCCAGCATCAACAGAGTTAACAGCTGTCTTAGGAAGAATCTTCCTGTAAATGTGAGGTGGTTGCTTTGTGGCTGCCTGTGTTGCTGCTGCACATTAGGTTGCAGTATGTGGCCAGTTATTTGCCTCAGTAAAAGAGTAAGTTGAATTGCATCTTTTGATTTACTTTAGAAGTGTGAAACAAGTCTTACTTTTACCTTTTTTTTCTGTTGATTGAACTAATGAAGAATGATATATCTTATTTGGTAAAGCAAGATTAATTAAGTAAATTATCATATAACCAAATGTTAAATAGCTATGTAGAAAATATTCATAATTTTTGTGCTTTAGGAAATTAAGTTCAGAGAAAAATGCTTACTTCCTATGTCTATGTATATTTTAATATGGACTAGAGTGATCCAATGTTCAAGGATGCTGGGTTCATCTCTACCACTTACCTCTGTGTCTTTGGACATAGTTCTTATTTTCTTTAAATCTGGCTGATATGCTGTAAAATGGTAATATTCACCTATGATTTGAGTAGAATTATTGTGAGGATATGATGAATCTTATTATAAAGCTCTTAGTCAAACAGCAAATGGGAAATTCTGTTAGCTTCAATGCTATTTCAAATATACAAGAGAACAATTTAAAGGAGGAAGTATATACTTTGGCTCATGGCTATGTTAGCTCTATTACTTCTCTGTCTGTCCAAGCAAAAATGTCACAGTGACCGAGCAGAGCTACTTGCATTACGGTTGCCAGGCATCAGAGAGGTAAGAAGGGAATTGGAACAAGATGAATGTAGCCCCTGTGAACAGAGCCCTACCCATTCTACTAGGTCCCATCTTTAGACATTTGAAACACCTTCCAAAAGGCCATCATATTAAGAATCCATGAGTGGTTTAATCCATTGATTAGGTTGAGTTCCTTCTTTCAGTGTACAGGATCTCCCAAGCAAGTGCTGCAGCATTGATTCAGCTATACCCACAACTCTCCATTTTCTATTTAAAATTTTATTTTATGTATGTGTTTTGGCTGTATGTATTATATATACCACATGTATCCTCCCATTGCCTATGGAGATTAGAAAAGGGCATCAGATTCCATGTAACTAGAGTTACAGCTACTTTGAGCCTCCATGTGAGTGCTGGGAATTGAACCCTGGTTCTCTGTTAGAGCAGCCAATGTTTCCAGCCACGGAGTCCTCTCTAGTCCCTAACAAATGAGCTTTTGGAAGGATACTTCATATCCAACGCATAATAGAAATTGTCAGTAAGGATTGACTAACATTATTGTTAGTATGAGAGTACCCATGAAGAAAATAAAATGGTTACAGTAAGATAATAGGGAACTCATTTTAATTTTGTACTTTATAGGTTCTTTAAGATGAATATATACTGACTCTGTGATTAGGAGAAAATAATCCAAAGACTTGATTTTCACTTCTTTTAATGAAAATATTCTAAGATGTTGGTTTAGATATGTCAAAATAATGCAAATTAAAAGTTGTTTTCTTAAAGACATTGTCTTACTCTCTAGACTTGAGTGACCTGGCACTAACTATGTAATCAGGTTAGCCTTGAACTAAGAGATCTGCCTGCCTCTACTGCCCAGATGCTCTAGGCCTGTGTGGTCATGCCCAGCACGGCACCCTTGTTTTTGTTGTTTTCAAAAATATATATACTTACACATATGAAATTGAAATAATATTCATCCATGTGTGGTAATTCACATATGAAATCCCAGCACGCAGCCAGGTGAAGGTGGCTCATGATCCTAGCACTGGGGAGGCAGCCTGGTCTACAGAGCAAGTTCCAGAATAGGCTCATTCCAAGATAGGTTCCAAAGCTAAAGAGAAACCCTATCTCAAAAACAGAAAACAAACAAAAATCCCAGCACTCAAGTAGCTAGACAGGAAGATTGTGAATAACATAGTAGTTAAAGACCAGCCTGGAAAACCAGAAGTAGATCTGGGGGTGGGAGAGCCAGTCAATCAAGGTGACATGAATGTTTTTCTATGGAAATATTTCATTTTTGGTGGCAAATAATGGCAAGGAAATGAAAGAAACCACATTTGATTTGTTACTTGATTTCCATGATAAAGTTAGAGGTATACTCTTGAAAATTTTGAGCTAATATATTTTATTGATAGAATGGATATGATACCTTTATAAGAGAATTACTTATGTATTATTTATTATAACATTAGAAATATTTACATTTCTTTAAAAGGTTTTATTATTAGCGTGCTGAGCCTGGGAGGTGCAGGTATAACAGCAAGTGTGTAGAGGTTATAGGAGAACACTGGAGTCAGGTCTTCTCCACCTGGTCATTGAGTGTGTATGGCTGGGCCTTTTTTTGCTGGCCCTACTTTCTTTAAGATGTTTTTTTACCCCCTTGCCAAATTGTCTCTAGGCCGCAAAGAATGTGTCTCTGGTGGCCTTGGAGCCACAGTTGCATTTCTGTCCTCTTAGTTTGGGTCCTCTCACTGCCTTCCACTGTTGAGGCACTGCCATTGTTTGAGTGGCTGCCCAGCTCATTAGGTTGCTTTGGCTGTCATGTGACCCACAGGATTGACGGCCTTTACCTTTTGGATCTAGCCTTTTTGCTTTTGAGATTTTTTTTCCTTTTCCTCCTCCCTCCCTTCCTTTTACTTTTTAAATGAGTAAAACAAGATACTTAAATATGTGGATGGTATATTTAGAAGACAAAGGCAAATACCTTATACTTCGCTATACATTTTGATAAACTTAAGATCCATTTTGACCTGGTTCCATGAGATCCTTTTAAGTTTGAAACATAATTGGTGCCTTTTTTGCTTGGTTTTTTTTTTCAAGGTAAATTGTCTGTTGCTTCAGGAAGTGTGACCTGTTCACAGTCTGTAGTGTTTGGTTCAAGATCCCCATCTATATAAGTGACTGGGTGGAACATTTATTTGATGCATGTAATTTTTTGTTTGGGTTTTGTATTTGGGTAGGGTCTCATGTTGCCTAGGCTGGCTTCAAACACACTGGATAAGGAATGTGTGTGAACCCCTGGTCTGCCTCCTATGTCCTAGGGCTACAGGTACATGGCCTGCTTGATGCATTTAACTTTTATATGGTGTCTAGTGAGCATAAAGAAGTTGCATAAAAGAAGCTATACATTTATCTGCCTTGAGTATAAACTGTTCTGTAACATCATGGATGTATGGAGAGTAGAGCACCTTTGTAAGATGGAGACAGAATATTAGGGATTTCCAACCCTTTGTCATGAACCACTTTGGCAGTCTAAAGAAGACTATAAATACTATCTTAGTGTAATGTTTAATATATTAAATAAATATTAAATATAAATATTTCATTAAGATATTTTTGGCTATATTATATATCAAACAACTAGATATGAAACTGGAAACTATTTTCAAGATTGTTTGAAGTCATCCCAAAATGTCATTCATTGTATGGCAGTGACAACAGGCTAGTAATGTGTAAGCTATGGATGCATTCACTGAAGACCTAGAAAAGGAGGATTTCATAAAAGAAAGGCAAAAGCTACAGTGTACTCCAGGCATAAGCCTCCAAAAAAACATTGACCAAATGGATGTCATCTCTTGACTGATAAGATCTTTTTTTTACTGTGGACCCCTGGACAGACTGGATGCCCTTCATAACAAGACTCAAGGGGAAGTGTATCATGAATAATTAAAAACCCAGAGACATATATTGGGGTTCAAGCTGAAGATCAGAAAAGCAAAGCAGCCAGCCACTAGAGCGTTCTTATCTCTACCAAGGCTGGGTGATCCTGTCCCCAGCATGACTGAAAACTGAATACAGACTGACACCCTGAGCTCCTGTCTTATATTCCTCTCTAGTGCTGAGATTAAAGGTGTGTACTATCACTGCCTGATCTCTACAGCTGTGGCTAGCTTTGCATTCTGATCTTCAGGCAAGCTTTATTAGATCATAAACAAAATATCACCACAGAGAAGAATCCAACCAAGTTACAACCCCTTACACCAGTCATCCATTCCCCAGTAAATTGAGTCTCAAATCTTGGAGTTTGCTGGGGAAATGATAGGGTTAAAACTAATGCTAGGGAAATACAAATAAGAGTGCTTATAGGTGAGATATGAGACAGCTAAAGTAACCAAATAAGAGGAAGCACAGGGTCCTGAGAAAGACAGTCCTGGTCCCAGGAGTTCCATTGGCTTCTGTGGATCCCCTTCCTGAAGAGCATAGTAAGGTACCATTGCACTTTGCCTAGCAAGCTCAGCTGTGAAGTGATTACACTTTTATATGTGGCCTTGGATCTGATGCATCTAATTGTAACACTGAATTGTGGGTAAGGATAAAGTCTCTGAAAGCTTCCACCTATTCCAGTAAAGTAACCACCCACAGCGTAGGTAAGATGGTAGACTAAGACTATAGACCTAGGGACCCCAGGGGTGGGGCTTATCCTTTTGTCTTGGCTTACTCTAAAAATAGATTTTTCTTGTTCTAAAACAAAACCCCACTAAACAACCCAAGAAACCCAAAACGCTTTAAAACAAATTTATCAAGTTGTTCTTTATTAATGTATACAAATAAGAAAGCAGATCCAAGGTAATGTGGTCTGATGGAAGAATCTGATTCTGCAAGCAATCAAAGCACCATTCCTATTCGATCACTCTGGTTAGATGCATATACTCATAGCCAAAGGAGGTACAGTACCTTTCAACTAGAGGTTAGAAATCAAGATGGATTTTTATTCCTGTCGGCTTTGTGGACTCCATCAGTTCTAACTAGGTATTCCTTATGAAAAAACCTTGAGGGGGCCAGTTGTGGTGGTGTATGCCTTTAATCTAGCACTTGGGAGGCAGAGGCAGGTGGATCTCTGTGAGTTTAAGGCCAGCTTGGTTTACCAAGTGAATTCTAGGACAGCCAGGGCTGCATCAAGAAACCCTGTCTTGAAAAAAGTAAAACCTTGAGGGGGTAAGAGTGTAGCTCAGTTCAGTCCCCAGCACCACCACATTCAAAGTGCTAAATAAGCATTCTTCCACTAAACTATGTCTTAGCTCTTTCATTTTACTTTAAATAAATAAACAAGCGAATAAATTGAGCCAGCCTTGTGTAGTTCAAATAGTGCAGGTTGGGCTTGAACTTCCATTTCAATCCTCGTCTTTGCCTCCTAAGTGC